GGAAATATAATTTAAATAAACAATACCGTAAATACACGTAAATAACACGTAAATACACGTAAATACGCGTAAATACAATAAACTTACCAACATTTCAGGAGTTAAACCAACGGCAACGGAAACAGCAAATAACACAGCATCTCTCCAACTTCCTTTTAAAAAACCTTGTAATAATATAACTGGAGGCATCATAGCCAACATAACTCCAATAAACATAAAGCTAATACGACGAATACTAACTTGATAAGCATTAGTTGATCGTCTATTAGCAAGAGCTTTTGCCATAACACCAAAGAAAGTATTTGAACCAGTTTTGAGAACAACAACAGTAGCTGTTCCACTTACAACTGAAGTTCCCATAAAACAAAGATCAGGACGATCAATTTCTGATTTATCCATTTTAAGGTTTTCACCTAAATCTGGTATAACTGGAGGTTGTTTTTGATCTATAGTAAATTTTTCAACTGGAATAGCTTCACCTGTTAATGAAGCTTGAGAAACGAAAAGATCTTTTGATGAAATTAATTGTACGTCACCGGGAACTAGGTCACCAGCAGAAAGTTTGACCCAATCACCCGGGACCACATCTTCTAATGGAATATCTAATTCAACTGTTTCGCCACGATCCATTCTTTCTAAATCTTCAAAAGTTGGATCACTAAAAAAAAATTTACAATAGTTTATAAAAAAAAAATAATTTACAAAAAATCAAAATTTTAAAAGTCAATTTAAAAAATTTACCGATAATCTGGTGGAGTATAAAGTCGGATAACAGAAGTACGGTTGCTAACCATATTTTTGAGAGCTTGAGCTGCAACTTCACTCTTATACTCTTGAATGAATCGAATCCCAACAGATAATACAACCATGAACAATAAAATTGTCATTGTAGTAAAATCTTGGGTCGCACCAGAAAAAATTGCAAGTCCTATCAAGATGACGTTGAAAGGATGAACAGCCGAGTTATACAATACCACGTACCTATAAAAAATAACATTCAAAGATTATCTTAATATTATATTTTTTCAAAAAAAGATATTATGGAATAGATTATATAATAATGATATGATACCATCGTAACGGTTGATACGCGGCAATAACGTTCTTTCCATAAGTCGTTAACCTTTGTTCAGCGACCTCAGCCGAAAGAGGTTTAAAATCATCATTAAAAGAGATTCCAGATTTATGAATAGGTTGAGAGATGGCAGCACACTTTAAACCATCTTCAATAACCATGATGGTAGAAATTTCATCGGATATAGAGTCCATATTTTTTTTATCAGGATTAGCCGACATTATGGAGGTTCAAAAATTTTTATTTTTTCAATCAAATCAATAAATTTTAGATCATATAAAGGACCTTGTAGTCAACCTGAGAACATATCCGTAAAGAAAAAAAAAAATAAAGAAAAAACAAATGTTTATATAAACGCTAATCAAATATCAAAGACTTAAAAATCATTGAATTATAAAATTATCATATATAGGGGTGGCTGAAAAACTGATAGTGTGATACATGTTTACATGTATACCTGTAGATTGTCAAGCTGCTGTATCGCAAAGTGCCTACAAGGAATCGTTGTTTTTTTGACCTAATTTGGAACTAATTATATCATTTTTGTTAATAGAATGATTTTTTTTTTATTAATAGCGTGTTGTAACAATGGAAATTAAAAATTTTAAATAATAAGAATAGTAAAGATTCGATACCTTAAAAAATGCCGATGTGAGTTTATCAATTCCCTATCGTTCGAATTGAATATCATTAGATTGAATTTGTCTTTATTACTCTTTTATTTATTCTTTATCGTTCTTTTTTATCGTTATCGTTATAACAAAGACTAAACTTTTCAAAAAAGTATCTTCCGACTGCTTCCTCGAATATATGTAGATCAACCTCCCTACAAACGTTGTACGGCACAAAATATGTAAAAGTAATAACATTGTACTTTGCGCCCAATACCAAATTAAGTTTCACTAGGTTAAATTTATTTTTCGGCTTCTATGGCATTTCCCGGCATTAGTAAGTTTTTGTGTAAATGTGTACTTAATGTGTACTCGATAATATCTGATATTTGATAAGCAGTATTTTTTCATCCACAATAAATGATGATTTATGCGTAAACATAAGCTTTTTCTTAAAAAAAAAAAAAAACGGGAGCGAATAACGAATAAGATCATCAATAATAACGATAATACTGATTACAAAAAGAATCTTTACCAGTTAGAATGATTTTACCCCTAAAAAAAAATAATAATAATATTCTTGTGGCTTTATCGAAATAGAAAAATTTCGGCTTTTTTTTTTTGTCTAATAGATTACCATATTAAGTAATATTTTGTTAATGTTTGGTAAATATTATGAACATGATACGTACATTTTTGAAAATATCCAAAATTGTTAAAAAAAAAAAAAAACGCTAAAGGCCGGTACGTAAAAAGTTTTTTAATACGTAAAAGATTGGACGTGCCACGTCCAAAAATGGTATAAAACATCCGTTTATACATATTATAATTTTCTAATTTTCTATTTTTATTAATAAACCAAATAATATATATCGAAAAAAAGTCTATGTATACGTAAAAAAAAAAAAAAAAATAATATATATTGTATATACAAAAAAAAAAATATTTGACAAAATAATAATAATAATAATAATAATATGAAAAAAAAAAAAAAAAAAGTTTTGAATATTCATTAAACGGAAAATTATTATTACTTTTTTTTTTTTTTAACCCAAATTTTAATAGATCCATAATTTATCAAGAATTTTAATACATAGTATTACCTCTTGAATCAAAACTTTCAGTAATAGAAGCTTCATAAGTAGGAGGATCTCTAAAATTACTTCTTATTCCAGGTATTATATTTAAAAATTGACAACTATGATTATGTTTACTAAAATTACAATAATTTTCCATTCTACTTCCAACATTATTTTCACCAAGTACTAATCTTGCCATTCTTAAATATTCAGGATCACAAGGACAATAATAACTATCATCTTCATAACTAGGTAAAACTACATAATCATCTACAGCTCTACAAGATAATATAGTTATTGGTAAACTAATTTTAAGTTCAGCTTTTTTTGGAGGATCTTGAGGAAGTGATAAATTAAAAGCGAATTTTAAATCATGAGCTATAGTAATTAATGGAGTATTACAAGAATAATGAAGTGGAGCATCACATTTTGGTAAATTTAAATTCATAGTTTGATGATAAGTAATATTTCCAACATCACCTTCTTCATGATCATCAATTAAACGATTTTCACCAAAATTATTTAATAATTGAGTTGAACCAATTCTAATATCAGTAATTTTTGGTTTTGAAGGAGAAGTACAAGTAGTTTTTTCAACTAAATCAACTTTTACACCTTTTACTATAAGTTTTTTTATATAAGGACAAATTTTCATATCGATAGGAATTGATTGACCTAATGGATAAGCTTTTTTTGGAATAGAAATTTCGTAAGATAACATATCATTAAATTCTCTAGCAACAGCAATACCTTGAGAATTTATATGATCAGGTATAGTACGTAAAATTTCAATAGGTTGATTTAAACGTAATTTTGGTAAAAATTTTGATCTTGAAGCTTTTGCGTATAAAGTATAAGATACGTTTCCTAAATTGGTATTTATCGTTTCTGGTAGGTTGCCTGGTAAGAATTTTTCGAAAGCAAAAGTATGAATACCAGAAGGTAATTTTGTTGAAGTTTTACTTTTTCTAAATGGATTAATTAGAAATTTTGAACGTTTTGAATCTTTTTCTTCTGGTGGAATTATAAATTTCCATTTATGAGAAATAATTTCATTTTTAAATTTTTTTCGTTCTATTAAAAAATAAAATAAAATAAAATAAAATTAATATATTAAATACTTTTATTATTTTTTTTATAAATATTTGAGAATGAATTAAAATAAATTTCTGATTTTAATTTTTTAAAATTCTCCAATAAAATTTTTTTTTTTTATATATATATATATATATTTACCTTCATTATATACAGTTTCAGCTGTTCCAACAAAATTCATTTCCAACTTATGAATCTTTGTTGGTTTAGACAAGTATAAAATAAGATCACCTCTTAAAATACATCCTACAGATTCTTCAGGTTTGCTAAAAAATATAACTGGTTCGACCAATTTAATTTCTAAGCAAGTTTTTGAAACTTCACTTTTATCAAAAATGAAATCTGATTGAGTCGTTGATATATGAGAAAATGTATCAGTTGTAATATTTACGAAAGATGATGTTGAAGCAAATGATGATTGAGATATTTGAGATATTTGAGCTGCGGGTAAATTTGTGAAAGATGGGGTTTGAATATTAACGGATGGAGTTGATGATATCATTTCTAATTTTCTTTTTTTTTTTTTTAATAATAGCGGTTCTTTTTTTGGGTTTAAAAAATAAATTGTTGTATAAAAAAAAATTTCGTCCAGCGAAATTTCATCAACCCACCGCTATTTTTATGTAATAAATTTTTCAATTGTTAAAATAAGTTTGAAAGGTATTTATAAATTTAAGATGACCTCAATGATGAATATCGTACAGACAATCTTTCATTGCCTTTTCTTTTGCGATAAACAAACTAAATATAATTATTCTGTATGTATCTGCATGTATACCGTCATCCGACTTTTTCTTGCACTAAAAAAGCATATTAAATACATATTCCAATATTCGAATAATTTTATAGTTACACGGGGCTTGTAACAGAATACTAGTACATACTTGCTACAGTAACACTTAACTTTTTTTTTTTTTTTTTTTTTCGGCATTTACGGGGTTTGTGTGTATTTTTGTGTATTTTTTATGTAGTCACATGAATTAGCATTAAAATTTATCAGTCTAACCAATTAAGCTAACAAAACTTCTTGTTTGTATAACACTTTTTGTTTTTAAAAAATAAGTACCCGATAAACAATAAAATTTATTTATAACACAAATATTGCAATATAGGATATACAGATATTAAATTATACGTACCCAAGTAGTTTTCAGTATTGTAACTAATAATGGAAACGTGTAACTAGTAATACTCCCTTTACAATAAATTCCTATAACGAGATAACGAGTAACTTATATATTATAAAGTACTACGTAACTTGAATCCAAAATTCCTCAAAATGCTTTAAAAGCTAATCAGCCAATAAGACATTGTATTAGTTGTTTTATCAGAGTGTGTTACCTACGTATTTAATAGCTTATGATAATTGACCTAAAACTTTTTTTATAAGACCAAAAATGGTTTAAAGGTTAATCATTCAACCAAAAGTAATAATAATAATAATAATTCATTACTGTACGTATAAAGAAATTTAAAGGATTTTGATAGGTAGATTATAACAAAAGACATTTGACGTATTTGATTGGCCATTTGTATTTTAATCATCAAGGAAAAAAAAAAAGATTTCGGTAATTAAAATATAAATTAACGAATTAGTCTTACTTTATTGGATTTTTCGGAGCTAAGTCTAATAAGTTATAAACTTATTAAAGTCTTGTTTTCCCTTGATGGTGAATATACTTTTTAGTCAAAACAACCCAAAAATAAAATAAAAATAAAAATAAATTTATTTAAATTAAAAAAAAAAAAAAAAAAAGCATTTTTAATAAATTTAGAATATATACTCAGTACCATTAATATCGGCCGATTTGTGGAATTTGATAAATAGAAAAACAAATCATTCATAGCACTGGTCAAATTTGCAGATCTTTTCGCCAGATTTTAAAGTCAAACAAATTCAAACTTGGTCAAATGATCTGCAAATTTGACCAGAGCTATGACTGATTATTTCTGTATTTATCAAATTCCACAAATCGGCCGATACTTAGTAAGGCAATAAATTTTTTTTTCTCTTTTTTACTAAGTGTGATATTTAGTACCGGGTTCGACGACCATCTTACAAATAAGATAAATTCTGTCATTCAAATGCTGAGAATTAAATTAATTATTATTTGCATTAATAATATTTAAATTTATTATCATGAACCATATGGGGAAAATCACCCTTCGGGATTTCCGAACGGGCAAATTCGGAAAGTAGACCAGAACACCAGTTCTTATTTATATGCAAATCATCTTTTACCTTGCCGATATAATAGTTTGTTAAATAAACTATTGCATCGATAAAGGTAAAAGACGACTTACATATAAATAAGAACTGGTATTCTGATCTAAGTCTTTCTTTCCGAATTGGCCCGTTCGGAAAATCCCAAAGTGTGATTTTCCTAGCAAAGATCCCATATAATAAATTTACTAAACCGTTCAGAGCACTAGACTAAACATAACGATAAACCCTTCATTTACAATAGATTAGTTGCGTGATCATCCATTAACCACAATAAAATCGATCGCGATCTAAAATAATTCGTCTTGTCCGTACCAATAATAAATCATAATGATAAAAATTGTAGTAAGATGACACGTCTGATTCAACCACTTACTCTTTCTTTCTTTTCAATCTCGAAAATCGATGTGACAAACAATTATTACAATCCAATAATGAACGAATTTTTTGCCCGTGCAAGTATATATAACAATCCTTTATAAACAGATAAATTATTCGCTTCTACCTCAACGCACAAGCGAAAAAGCAGTTTCACGTATGCGGCGTAAAGAATTTTACATCTACAAAGTGAGATTTATCGATTAATCGAAAAGAAAGATCACACAAAAGGCTGTCTATAAAATGCTATTGGACGCACTCAATAATTGCCAAGGTAGAAAAATTTGGTGTTGTATTATTTATCCAAAATGAAGCTTATAAACTTGTATTTAGTGTGGCAATGTTCAAAATATTGAAGTATACGTACAATTACAAAAAATGAAAATAGTTTTAGGGAATCTTTCCCCGGGCATTGCTTGATGAAACCTTGACTCTTTCCGGGATCATACTTTGCAATTACTGGATTAATACTAATATGTTACAATCCGATAATGCATTCAATAAACTAGTAAATATTCAGATAGGCTAGAAATTATTTAAGGATGAAACCTGTGTAGTTCGCTCACTATCGGAAATTGAATACTCTTATCTTCAATTTCCGATAACGATATTGAAATCCAGAATTATTTTTACAATATAAATTTATATTTGATTAGTGTTAGAAAATAAATCTGTCTAAAAATTATCTATTGGGGGGTTTCAAAATTAGTGATTCGGCATCTGATTTCAGATGAAATAAATGACGTATTTATTTCAAAATCAGTGACTT